GTTCGTGCCAGACCAACCTGCTAACTTTTTATGAAGAGGTAAGTAGAGATCTGGATGGGTGGAGGCCGGTGGACATAGTATATCTGGACCTTACCAAAGCATTTGATATGGTGCCTCATAAATGCTTGTTATACAAGCTGAGGGCTATGTGCATAGATGAATTAGTGTGCACGTGGATAGAAAACTGGCTAAAGGAACGTGTACAAAGAGTATCAATAAATGGCACCTTTTCAGACTGGGCTGAAGTGATGAGTGGTGTGCCCCAGGGTTCTGTGCTGTGCCCCATGCTTTTTAACCTGTTTATTAATGATATCGGGGGGGTGAGTGAGTAGTCGTGTCTCAGCGTTTGCTGATGATACGAAAATTGGGAGGGTAATAGACACTGATTCAGACATTGTAACATTACAGAAGGACCTGGATAAACTCGGGGAGTGGGCAACAGTATGGCAGATGAAGTTCAATGTCGATAAATGCAAGGTAATGCACTTTGGAGTTAAAAATAGGCAAATGGACTATACACTTATAGGTGTGCCACTAGGGAAGTCGGAAACGGAGAAGGATTTGGGGGTCATTATAGACCGCAAATTGAATAACAGCTCGCAGTGCCAGACTGCTGTAAACAAAGCTAGCAGAGTTCTGTCTTGCATTAAAAAGGGAATGTATTGCAGGGACAAGTCTATAATTTTGCCACTTTATAGATCATTGGTTCGGCCTCATCTGGAGTACGCGGTCCAGTTTTGGTCACCGATACTCAGAAAAGATGTCCTTGAGTTTGAAAAAGTCATTAAGGGGTTCGAGGACCTGAACTATGAAACAAGGTTGTTAAAATTTAAATATGTTCTCTTTGGAGGTTAGGAGATTAAGGGGGGACATGATTTTCTTGTATAAACTGTTCAATGGTGACAGCAACATTATTAACAAACTGTTTACGGTTAGCTCCGTAACAAAGACCAGAGGGCACCACCAAAGATTGGTAGAAAAAAATGTCAACATACAGGGCGCAAGGGATTCTTCACAGTTAGAGCGGTTAGGGTCTGGAACTCGCTGCCGCAGGACGTGATTTCAGCTAAGAGTGTGGAATCAAGCATTACTGCCTTGACTGTGGTAGGTTTATTGTGCACTTTTAATAATGGACAACAATTTGGCTCATTTTATTTTCCAATGGTCTAATATTTTATACTTATTGTATAAAATCGAGGGAATGTTTGCATACTTCAACTAATTGTTTTATGAAACAAAATTTAGAATTTACACATTGGACACGTGGGAACTAATTAACATAATGAATCCCTTTCTTACCAGTTGCAGCACCGATGTAAATCTCAAAGGATTCATTGACTGACTGCCCTCTGAACACTGTATATTAATTGCACGGGGAATTGTCAGGACTCATTGAGATAACTTCCTTTCCCATCGAGAGACATTCCCAAGACTGCTTTTTCAGGTAACACATGACAACTCATAAAGAATGTCAGTACAGACCAGATGCATACGTTTTAATGTACATTAACATGAGCATGCTTTAGGACTTGTTTCCACCAGCCCGCGCGTCTACCGCAATGCCCTGTGCCCAGAACGCAAGGGATCGCATACATAAAGTCTCCTTGCGTTCTGGGACGGGAGGGAGCGTGGCAGTGCCATTTAAGTCAATGGCACTGCAGACACACCCTCCAACCGCATTGTGATCGGCCGAAGAGGACCGTGTGGTAATAAAATGCTCTGCGTTGCAGTGCGGTGCTATCGCAAAAAATCATGCATGCACTATTTTTTGTGATCGCACTGCACTGGAACGTAGGGCAGTTTATTACCACGCAAAGGAGACTTTATGTATGCGGTCTCTTGCATTCCGGGCATGGGACATTGCGGTAGACACGCGAGCTGGTGGAAACAAGCCCTTAGATTAATTTAGGAAGCAGTGTTAGGGATTTCATGCATGGTGCATATACAGTAAACCCTATATCTATTTTATTAGCTAGCATTCTGCCTCACTGTGTACAGTTTTCGTATGCAAATTATTTTTAGTGAATCTGTTGCAAAGTTTCATACCTGGATATCCTGCCAGGAGAAGCACTTCGTGTTGAAGGCAGACAACTCTAAGCTGATGCAATGCAATTCTCAGCAGTGTTGTCAGCCTGCCGTATGTGCTCATTCAGTTGGCTGTTGGACTGTCTGTGAGGTCTATCAGATAGGCAGCCCAACTGCCAACTGTAGAAGCTCTGCAGGCTGACAGCGCTGCTGCTAATTGCGAGGCAGTGGCTTAGGGTTGTCAGCCATTGACAGGAAGTGCTGTTACTGGCAGCCTATCTGGGCAATTAACTTGGCAACAAATTCACAAAAAAATATTTGCTTAGTGAAGCATATTTGCAGGCATACTGAAAAATAAATGTAGGGCTTACATACAGTTAAACTGAAAATGAAAGCTAAAAAAAGAAATAGGCAGAGTTTTCCCCAATGCATCCCGCAGGAAGGTGCTGGTGTGAACATAGCCCACTGATATCAATGGACTTTCACATGTACACACAGTTGGTTTACCATAACAAATACAGCAAAACGTGTGATAATGCATGTAGCACCCCCTTACTGCCTGGAGGTGGGTCAGGGACCCCCAGAGGTCAGGTGGGCTGACACTTCACCTCAGTGTGGAATCCTTGACTTATAGTTATGATGTGGACAGATGGGCACCAGTCACTTTTGAACAGTTAATAGAGTATATTTGGTCAATAAATTCTAGAAAAAGAATTAGAGCACAGCATAGTATTCTGATACCTGCCGGTGGCCATCTTGGTGATGGAAGCCGACAGAGAGAGGAGGGGACAGTCACCCGGCGGAGACTGTGAGTAATTTTGGTGTCACCCCTCCAATGGTGTCACCCGGGTGCGGGCCGCACCCCCCGCACCCTCCTTGTGACGTCACTGAGGATGGCTACAGCCTATAAGAACCAAGTATAGAGTCACTTAGAGTCATTTAGAGCAGTGGTTCTCAACTTGTGTAACCTCAGATCATTAAGTGGTGACCCAAGTCGCAGTGCAATGGAACGCACGGCATTGTGGTACCGTGCGTTGCGGGGTGGGCGATTGAACTGTGGTCGTGAGGTGTGTTTGGGGTGCCATTATGAGAACTGGAGTGGATCTTCAGCCGGGGTTCCAGTGCTGGGCTGCTGTGCTGTGACGGAGCTCCATCCATACATGCGTTGCTTGTACAACTCCCATGCGCGCCCCGTAGAGGTGTCGGGAGCCAGGATCTGACGTCACTCGGGTCCAGGCACCTCCTAGAGGGCACGTGAGGGAGCTGTAAGCAATGCACGTATGGATGGAGCTCCCTTGTGGCCCTAGCTCCAGCCCGCCCCACCTCAAGCTCACACTCAATGCCAGGCAGCATATTCTGAATGGCTGCTCTGCATGAGAACTGACATTGCTGCGCTAGGAGGAGGCTAAGAGACTCTCACCTAGAGAAGTGGAAGGTACACTGGCGACCCACTGAACACAGAGTCGCGACCCACTTTTGGGTCACTACCCACCAGTTGAGAACCAAGGATTTAGAGTCACTCCTGCTCAGGGCAGGGTGGCTACATGCCATTGATGTGAATTATCCTTTATTGGTTGTGGACATCAGACCTAACTATGCTGTCTGGCTATTGTAGAATTTCTGAAAAAAAGAATTTGTCTTTTTTTATGCAATGGCACAAAGGTAGTTTATATTTTGAAAGTAAACTGACTCATGTGTCCACGTACCAAGGTTAGAAAACATCTTCAACGTGTAATGAACTCAGTACCAAAAGCTGCATCGTGGGCAAGCCGTTTTTAAACCGGTGAAACATTTGAGAGTTTATTCAGTTAAAAACAAAAGTCTCCAGGGATGCACTGATACCGGAGGTCCTGTCACGGCTCTCTGCCGCGACAGGGAGGCGCTGGATTCCCCCCTCCCCGCTCCGATCCTCCAGCGCTGACTGGCGGAACAGACCGGGGAGGGGGCGGGTACATCTGGCTCTGCCTCTAGATAGGCAGAGCCAGCTGTCAGTCACGCAGCTGGGCAGATCCCGGCACAATTGTCGGGATCCGCTTCAGCTGCGGCGTCTCAGTATACCGCAAGCTACAGCTCAAAGTATACTGAGCCTAGGGTGACGGGAGGACGCTAGTTTGTGTCCTCCCGTTACCCTAAGGAGAACTATGGGGAAAAGCCTTAACCCCTAGTTCTCCTTTAAAGTGCATGTGACATTTTTTTCTAAAACAATGCAGACTAATGATTTTAGGACAGTGGTGGAGCAACAGGGCCCAGTCAAAGCTGCAACCGCTGCGACCCTACCAGTTCTGCCACTGACTCCAAGCTGTAGTGGGACTACTAATCTCAGCAATACATTATACAGCAATGCATGAAGGCTTTGGCTATAGAGGACTAAAAGTCCCAGCAATCCATTATACAGTAATACCACCAGCGATAGAAGACTACAAATCTCAGCAATCCATTATACAGCAATGCAAAGTTAAATCAGCTATAGAGGATTATAAATCCCAGCAAAATATATTATACAGCTATGCAGAATAATATGAAGCTACATATTCTGTGTTGCCCACCAGGGATGTGCGGCATATCAGAAGGTTGCCCAGGGGCTCACCAGGGCAGTGCAGGATCTCACCAGGGCTGTAATGGGGTCTCAGGAGGCTGTGCAGGGTCTGACCAGGGCTTTGTGCGGTCTCACGAGGTTGTGGTGGGTCTCACCAGGGCTGTACGGGTCTCACCAGGGCTGTGCAGGGGCTCACCAGGGCTATGCAGGGTCTCAGGAGGATGTTCAGGGTCTCACCAGGGCTGTGCAGGGTTTCCCCAGAGCTGTGTAGGTAATGACATAATGTGTGTGTGTGTGTGTGAGATGATGTCCCAGCGGATGACACCAAGCCGGGGGATGCCTCTGAGCCCCACTGCAAAGGTTAATAAAGTTTTACCTGGAGTTCTGCTTTATTGTATATTGGGCATGTCAGGAAATTATTGGATGCAGACTTGTAAAGTTACTGAAAGTTCCACTTTAATAAACTGAAAAATAAGTTTTCTCTAAAGGAATCTAGGAATCCTCTCATTGAGAATGCTCCTGATAGGCGTAGAGCCGTAAAGTACTTGAGTTGTCGTTGTAGAGCTGACTTCACATCCTTGTTTTTCAAGCTGTAAATGAGGGGATTCAGCATGGGAACCACAGCTGTGTTGAACAAAGACAAAAGTTTACCAAACTTAAGGGTGCCACTCGGTGTAAAATATTGACAGACAAGGATCGCGTAGTGAAGTGTCACAACTGTTACGTGCGACGAGCATGTGTAGAAAGCTTTAGATCTTCCCGTACTAGACTTAATTCTCATGATGGTGGCAATGATGAACACATAGGAGATGAAGGTGAGCAGAAAAGGGATGAAGGTGCAAAGCAGGAGCCCCTGTGTGAAAATCAGCAGTTCCAAAGTGGAGGTGTCACTGCATGAAAGACTTAATAGGGGCATAATGTCACAGAAAAAGTGATTAATGATATTGGAAGTGTAGCAAGAGAATTGTGACAGCAATATCATTGCAGGAAGAATCTGTAGAAAACTAAATGACCAGCAAAATATGGCCAAACCAACACAGACGCTACGTCTCATGACAGTTGAATATTGCAATGGGTTGCAGATGGCAGCATAACGGTCATAGCTCATGGCTGTAAGCAATATCAACTCATTGCCAGAGAGCCATGAGAAGATATATACCTGTTCCATGCAGTCAGTGAAGGATACTATATTATAGCCTGTTTCAAAAGTAATGAGGACCTTGTGTAGGGTGACTGTGACAGAAGATATGTCAAGTATGGACAGGTTGGCCAGGAAGAAGTACATGGGGGTGTGGAGCTTAGAATCCAGGCAAACCAATAGAAGGATGGTCAAGTTACTACCAAGAGTGATGAGGTAGATGAAAAGAACCAGGAGGAAGATTGGAACTTGGAGTTTGGAGACATCTGAAATACCTTTAAGGATGAAATAGGCCACCAATGTCTTGTTTTCATGCATGCTTTGCTCTGTCAATTAAAAGTAAACTAAACAATAGGATTCTTCCAGTAGAGTATTTACATATGCTAAGGTAAAAAACAGGGAAGACTCTTTGCTTTAATGAGGACCTGAACTCTGGAAGCTGTGCCCAATGGAAGAAAAGCCGAGGATAAAGGACTAGTCACCAGGATTGCCTGTGGTCTCCCTGCAGCTGATCTTTTCCCTATTACTGACTAATCATGTCTTGTTTTGCACTGTAGGCTCAATTCACAAAGGTTAACACATGGATAAGGATGTTTATTTATAACCAGGTGACTGTGATCTTTAAATAATATTAGCTGGCCCTTTTTTGATAATAAGGTTCCTTATCCGGGTCTTTTAGCTTTGTGAATTGAGCCTTGTGTCTCTATGCAGAGGCTGCCATCTTGGTAGAGGAAGAACTTTTCTGTCTCATGTCATTGCCCCCTGATGATTGATAACTGATAGAGGAATAATCAAGCAGCAGCAGGGAAGGTTCAGAAAACACAGCTCCACACGATGATTGTAGTAGAAGCAGGGAGATCCTTGCGCGGCAGTTCGTCAGGTACAGCTTCCTCTTCAGCAAAGAAAAAAGTCAGCTTCTCAGACACATTTAACGTTTCTAGATGTTCCCATAGCAAATCTTCACTTTTTTACTTCAGTGCCGCTGTGGGAGACAGCATCAATCTTGACGAAGCAAGGTCGGGCCCGGAGAGGTAAGAACAAAAGTTTATTGTTCCAAATATGGCAGTCCAGGAACATATGTGTAATTTCAATTTATTTAATTCAGCAACATTCAATAACATAACATTCACAATGCTCATTAGGGCACCAACAAAAGAGAAATGTCCTTGCTGCCTAATGTCCTATTACTAGAAGAAGGGAGTATACCAAATTTAATTCATTTCATATACATCAAAAGAAAATGTGTGCAAGGTCTACAGTTCATTTTCTTTAGAAAGCAGCCACAACCTAGGTAGAAAAGTCAGTCCCCTGCCAGCATGCGGCAGAGAAGGATCCTTGCTCTCTGCGTGGAAGTAGAGGTCTGAAATACAAAATAGTAATACCTAATACATACATAAAGATAATCCTAGTCATATACTGTATATGATATTGTCCTAAGTGCTTTTATAAAACAAAAGTTGTATTAAAGTATTCTATTAGTCAAATGATGTTTTGGTGGGCAGATGTTACTTGGTACAATTTTTGGTTCCTGCTGCCGGTAGTGCCCTACCATAATACACATATATATATATATATATATATACACATTATATTGCCAAAAGTATTGGGACGCCGGCCTTTACACGCACATGAACTTTAATGGCATCCCAGTCTTAGCCCGTAGGGTTCAATATTGAGTTGGCCAGCACTTCAACTCTTCTGGTAAGCCGTCCACAAGGCTTAGGAGTGTGTCTATGGGAATGTTGGACCATTTGTGAGGTCAGGTACTGATGTTGGAGGAGAAGGCCGGGCTCGCAGTCTCCGCTCTAATTCATCCCAAAGGTGTTCTATCAGGTTGAGGTCAGGACTCTGTGCAGGCCAGTCAAGTTCCTCCACCCCAAACCCCCCCATCCGTGTCTTTATGGACCTTGCTTTGTCCACTGGTGCGCAGTCACGTTGGAACAGGAAGGAGCCATCCCCAAACTGTTCCCACAAAGTTGGGAGCATGAAATTGTCCAAAATGTCTTGGTATGCTGATGCCTTAAGAGTTCCCTTCACTGGAACTAAGGGGCGGAGCCCAACCCCTGAAAAACAAACCACGCTTTGCATTGCACTCTGTGATGTAAGGCTTGGATGCAGCTGCTCGGCCATGGAAACCCATTCCATGAAGCTCTCTACGCACGCATGCCGAGGTGCCTCATCCTATACACCGGGGGCCATGGAGGTGATTGGAACACCTGAAGCCAATGATTTGGAGGGGGTGTCCCAATACTTTTGGCAATATAGTGTAAATATATATATGTATACTGTAAATGTACGTATTTTTCAATTGTTTATCATATACTAAAAGATTCTTAATTACAGCGGATATAAAAAGTCTACACACCCCTGTTCAAACACCAAGTTTTTGAAATGTAACAAAATCAGACAAAGATAAATCACTTTTTGCACATTTTTCTTCAGCTGGAACTGCGGCTTTAGTAAAGGTGGGGGGACAACTTATGAACAGTTCCAAATATCAGTGAATTCTGGCCCAAAACCTTCAAGCCTCTGCTAAAAAGCTGAAAATGAAGAGGAATTTCACCTTCAGGACAACAACAACCCAAAGCATACCTCCAAATCAACAAAAGGATGGCTTCACCAGAAGAAGATCAAAGTTTTGAAATGGCCCAGCCAGAGCCCAGACCTGAATCTAATTGAAAATCTGTGGGGTGAACTGAAGAGGGTGGTGCACAGGAGATGCCCTCGCAATCTGACAGATTTGGAGTGCTTTTGCAAGAAAGAGTGGAAACAGATTCCCAAGGCAAGATGTTCCATGGTGATAGACTCCTACCCCCAAAAGACTGAATCCGGTCATAAAATCAAAAGGTGCATCAATAAAGTATTAGTTAAAGGGTGTGCATATTTATGCAACCATGTTATTGTTAGTTTTTTATTTTTATCCCCCTCCCCCTTTAAATATTTCAGTTTGTTTTTAATTTAATTGCACAGATTCGGTCACATTATAGGTGGAAAAAATTCTGAAGTGATTTATCTTTGTTTTTTTTTTTTACATCTCAAAAACCTGGTATTTTTACAGGGGTGTGTAGACTTTTTCTATCCACTGTATAGTCTAATAATTGAAATCGTCTACTCACACCAAAAAGATCCTTTGTTGACCTAGCCTGTCAATTTTCAAGTCAATGTCATAGGTGGTAGTGCATACATTTTGTTGCATCCAAAATGAGAAGACAACGGGGAACCATAAAACCTATACAGTCTGTTAACACTTTGAACTTTATATTTCTCAAGAGTTTATTGCCCGCGCATGTCCCGGCATCCAGACATCATCAATATTTATTGAAGACACCAAAACCTTTAACTTCAGATAAAAACGTGTTTCACTGTGTGGGAAGTTTGAAAACACCAAACTGAAATGGGAATATTCTTTAGCGGAGAACGTGCGACCAAAAGGAATTAGGAAAAAAATTATATCATCAAAATGAATTCATGAAGAAAGCGAATGACTCCATCCAGAGAGCTTCCTACCAAGTGTACTTAAGATTCGAAGGATGAATACATTGTAACATTGATTGTTGTCATATCGCGTGCTATATTTTATGGAGTATATCCCTGTGGCGGTGTGATGCCGGTTTTCCCTAGTCGGGCTTCTTTGCCGTAAATAAGGGCTCTATAACCTCCTGACAATCCCCGATAACAAGGTCTCAATGGACCAGACTCTCTGAAGACTTTTCAAAGCTAGCAATTATTTAAAGAGTAATATCTCAAAAAACAATCAATGTTTATACTGAACACCCTTAGCGGCAGTTCTGTACGCCAGACGGTGTAGAGTAAATGATGTCCACCACGAAAGTGGAATCAAAGAGTTGCTAATCGCCGCTTACAAATATCAAACTTGAAAAGGATTGTATTGTGGTTTTCTTGGGATTTTTTTAATGGTCAAAACTAGAGGTGCAACGAAATGGAAATTTTAAAACCAAGACGAAACCAAAATAAATAAAAAATTGTCAGGCCAAAACCTTTTTTCACATTTTTTTTATATTTTATTTATTTTTTATTTTTTTTATAAACTTTAATTTTTTTTATATTTATTTGTATACGATTGCACTCATCTCCTTCCTGACAGCTGTCACAGGAGGCTGAGCAAGCGATGCGGGGAGGAGAGCTCAGCCTCCTGTGACAGCGCTGTCTGTCTCCGCCCACACACCGCTCTGCTGGACTGTGATAGGAGGCTGAGGGGTGAGGGAGGAGGGACGCCGGCCGCTCACAGCGCTCTCCTCCCGCAGCGCTCGGCAGGCTGTCACTTTCTCTCCTCCCCCCTGGGACACAGAGCAGCGCCCAGCGGGGAGAAAAGAAAGCAGGGATGTGCGGATCTATCGGCAGAAAAATTGCACTTTCAGCATTACGCCAAAAAGTGCCATTTTCGCCCGATATGTTTCGGCGGCCGATATATCGGTGCATTCCTAGTCAAAACTAAAAATAATAATTTTTTAAAATAGTGCATATTAAAATATGGTGTTTTTTTAGCCAGCAGATGAAGGTTCAGCTAATTATCATATATTTTCCTCTATCTCTTTACAGCCTGTGGTAAATTACCTATGGGGTACAGAACTTAATATGTCAAGGAAATTATCTAGATGACCCCTCACAGGCACTCATTCCTTAAAGGACAGGTCCATCTGAGGTTTCACTCAGAAAATTCCTGTTGCAAGGCTTCTGTTCTGTGTTCCCTTTTAGCTAACCCATGATGCTCTGTGAATCTTTTGTGTTACATCAGACGGCAGGGAGATCTGTGAGGAGAGTGGTAGGAAACATTATAACAAGTTCTTTTGACTTACTTGTCTTTAAAGTGACACTAAACTCCGGAGTTAATCCTTAAAAATACATTTTTTACATTTGCTGGGGGGGCATTTTTCTTTTACATAAAATTATTGTTTTTCCACTTCCTGGTCCTCTTGGGCATTAGTGATGTTATTTGCCCAAGTGTTGCATCCTGGGAAGGTTAGATCAGCAGAACATTGCTGGAAAATCTCATCTGTAATCTCAGGAGATCTCAGGGAAAGGCATTTTCCTCCCCTGAGATGATGTGCGTGGTCACATGTCCTAGTCACATGTGCCAGAGTTCCAGGAAGTAAAGGGAGATGGACTAATCTGCCCGTAGTAAAAAATGGCCGCTGTGAGAAGAAGGGGGAGGAAAAGAAAAATAAGATATGCAAAGAATAAAAAGTCGGCAATTATCTAGAAGTATCTGTGTGTAGATTGTCATTACTAAAATCTTTTATTTTACTTCTGGATAGAGTGGGGACATTGTTAGACTCTGTGTCAGGCGTTTATTGCTGTCGGTGTCCCCATTGAGAAGATTCACCTCTCTATATGTACTGGTAATTATTGTCATCTAGAATCAAAGTGAGGGGAAATCCAAAATGTTAGAGCCCTCCACAGAGCAGAAGGTAAGAAGATCTTCCAATGAGGACACCTGTACTGGGGACACCTATCTGAGAGGGGAATTCCCCTCTTAGAGATTTCCTCTCACTTCTTGTTGCACCTCTGAGACAGGAAGTGAATGGTAATTTCACCAATGGTACACAGACAGCAAATAAGCAGGAAGGGATTTTAATCCTTCCCTAGTCTATCCCAAACAAAAAAAAGTTTGAGCTTACAAAACACTTTAATGGGCAGTCAACATGGACATTCAGACTGAGCAAAGTGGACACTTAAGGGTGTATTTAAAAACAGTTTGCAAAGCGAACAACTCTGTGAATGTCTACATTGTAGATTTCCAGTTCATTATGGCCACTAGATGGAGCCGAGGAGCAAGGAAATGTCCTATGCTCCTCAGCTCCATCTAGTGGCCATAATGTGCTGCACATCTAAAAGTTAGACATCCACAGAACTGTCCATTCTGCCAAACTTTTTATAAATAAACCCCTAAATGTTGTCATGGTTCAGTTCAAAATTACAGCAAAGCCAAAAACATATAAATTGTTGGAACTTCTTGCACAGCCTCACAGAGAAACACAAGCACACAGTCTGATATGCTGCACATGGCTTGAAAATAGGAAGGCAGCCACAGCTTTTTTTTCTACCTTATTCAATACAACAGAGTATATACCATGTGAAATAGATATATAACAGAACTTATAAACACACTGCCAACTAGTGACCGAAATTGTATACTGCAGGAGTTATTGCTATAGATACAATAATGTGTATTCTAACATCAAAAACATAAAATAAAAATGTATTGTATTTCAGCGAACCAGTCCTTAGATTGGATGGTAGCGTATACTTTCTTTTTTTCAGGCTAAGAACAGAAAATACCTGTTGCTATTGGCACACATGCGATATCATGTCACCAATCAAGACTGAGGCCAAGTACAACAGCTCTATGATAGAGGAACCCCGAGTCAAAAGACTCCATGCACAAAGCCTAATGAGCCTCACAGTCCACATCCATCAGTATTGATCATCAATAATTTGCACCCTGGACTGGGGTGTTTTCCGTTGTGTTTCCTACTTAGGGAGACTATTTTTCCTCTGATTTGTTTCTCATTAGCATAGATTTGGGGGTGTTTATTTGCGTATTCATTGCAGGAACTTACCCATGTTTTTCCAGGGATATTCCGTAAGATTGTTGTAGAAGGAGGAAAACATATAAAATGTTGGAACTTCTTGCACAGCCTCACAGAGAAACACAAGCACACAGTCTGATATGCATGCTGCTCATGGCTTGAAAATAGGAAGCATTCTTATCTTTCTTTCACAGTACCTTCTGTAATCTTCTAATCCCCCTCCCCCAATGTAATGTTGATGAATAGAGAAAGATCCATTTGTATATGGTATTTGTATATATGTATATGGTAATGAGAACCTTCACAGACATCCATTTGTAGTTCACATCAGGAAAGCAGCCTAAGGTTACAACCATGGTTCCTTCCTTTGATACTGTGGAGGAGTGAGCGTAGCTACCCGAGAAGGTGTGTTATTCGCACGATTACCGGGTGAAAATAAAGGGGAAAAAAGCCTTAAAGAGGAAACTAATGCAGTCACCACATCTAGGGACTGATAAGCTGCTATGTATTAATTTTTGTTTTTTGGGGTTGGATATACTTTAAAGGAGAACTATGGGGTTAGAGCTTTTCCCCATAGTTTTCCTTAGGATAACGGGAGGACACAAACTAGCGTCCTCCCGTCACCCTAAGCTCAGGGAATCCAGCCCCAGTGTTATCTGCATCCACTAATTATGTACCTCTGGAGTTACGTATTGTAAATTGTTACATTTTGTAAATTGTGAAGTATACTATTAATAATATTGAGGGTTGAGAAAATGTTCTTGTTTCATTTACAAAAGCTCTTGTTTGAAATGGAGAAAGATTTGGGGGTCACTGTAGACCATAAACTCAATAATAGATTACAGTGCCAGGTTGCAGTAAGCAAAGCTAGTAGAGTCCTGTCCTGCATCAAGAAGGGAATGTTTTGCAGGGATAAGTCTATAATTTTGCCACTTTACACATCACTGGTTCGGCCTCACCTGGAGTATGCGGTGCAGTTTTGGGCACCGGTACACAGAGGGGATGTCCTTGAACTGGAGAAAGTCCAGCGAAGGGCGACCAAACTCATCAAAGGGATGGAGGACCAGAGCTATGAGACACGGTTACTAAATTTAAATATGTTCACGCTGGAACTAAGGAGATTAAGGGGGGACATGATTTTCATGTACAAAATGTTCCATAGTCATAGCAACATTAGCAACAAACTCTTTACGATTAATTCCGTAACAAAGACTAGAGGACACCACCTGAAACTGGTAGAAAAAAAATTCAAACACAAGGGGCGAAGGGGATTCTTCTCAGTTCGCGCGGTTAGGGTCTGGAACTCACTGCCACAAGCAGTGATTTCAGCTAATAGTCTGGAATCATTCAAGAGGCTTTTGGACGATTTCCTGAGAAACGGTAATATACAGGGGTACAAGTACTCCTAAAAACGAGATGACTCGGGGATCTTTACACACACACACACACACAATAGGTTGGACTTGATGGACATGTGTCTTTATTCAACCTCAAATACTATGTAACAATACTTAATTTTTTTAGGTGGTAAATCAAGAACTGAGCAATCTTGGCCAATGTGACCAATCTCTGGGACAGTGGCCGATCTCTAGGACAATGGACAATCTCTTCAAAACCTGGTCATAAAATACTTGAGTTTTCGCCGTAGAGCCAACTTCACATCTTTATTTTTCAGGCTGTAAATGAAAGGATTCAGCATAGGAATCAAAGCTGTGTTGAGCAAAGACAAAAATTTACCAAACTTAATGGTTCCCACTGGGGTCAAGTATTGGCAAACAAGACTAGCATAGTTAAGAGTAACAACTGCTATGTGCGAGGAGCATGTGTAGAAAGCTTTAGATCTTCCTGTACTAGACCTAATTCTTAATATGGTAACAATTATGAAGGCGTAGGAGATGAAGGTGAGGAGAAAAGGGGTGAAGGCTGAAAGTAATGCTCCCTGTGTAAACACTAACAGTTCCAAAATGGAGGTGTCATCGCAGGAAATCTTCACCAGACCTATCATGTCACAGAAGAAGTGGTTCATTTCGTTGGTGGCATAGCAAGAGAATCTTGACAATATAACCATCGCAGGCAGAATTTGTAGAAGACTAAACGACCAGCAGAATAGGGCCAAGCCAACGCAGACTTTACCATTCATGACCGTTGAGTAATGTAATGGTTTGCAAATGGCAACATAGCGATCGTAGCTCATGATAGCAAGCAATACCAACTCATTGCCGCACAACCATGAGAAGAAATATACCTGCGCCATGCAGTCAGTAAAAGATACTACATTACTCCCACTGACAAAAATAACCAGGACCCTATGTAGTGTTACTGTAGTAGAAGAAATGTTGACAATGGACAGATTACACAAGAAGAAATACATGGGAGTGTGGAGCTGATAATCCAGGCAAACCAGTAGAAGAATGGTCATGTTTCCACCAAGAGAGATGAGATAAACGAGAAGAACCAGGAAAAAAATTGGAACCTGTAAAAGGGGGATTTCCGAAAGTCCTTTAAGAATGAAGAAGGTCGTCATTGTCTCGTTTTTCTCATTCATGTTTAATGCTATGAATTTAACTGAGCAGCCCTCACTATACCAATGCCAAACTACCAGTCATAGGGGGCACAGCACCTCCTACAGACAAGCCTGTAAGTCCATAAGTGGGAAACCTCCAACTGCCCTCACAATGATATTATAGCACACTTGCAGACTAGGGTATAAAGTTGGATGAACCCTCTCATTCGTTATTTACCTAATCCAACCCCATGCCTACTTTTCCCTGTAGTCAAGTCCAATGACTACATATATTAACATCAAAGAAAAAGAAGATTTGATCTCTGATTCCTTATTACATGTGATGCAACATTCCGGGATATAACTTTCATCATCCACAACTGTCCATTGACTGACCTCCGGAGAGCATTTGTTTACCCAACACTCTAGCTCCTCAACCCGTACACCATTTTGCTAATATTGTCATAGCAACGTGCATGCTTAATGTAGTGTCTGGCCTTGATGGATGGACTTAATGTAGTGTCTGGCCTTGATGGATGGACTTAATGTAGTGTCTGGCCTTGATGGATGGACTTCATTGGGGGTCTGGGCTTCAGGG